CACCATGCCTCACCACTGCCTACTGGATTAGCTGCCCATGTGAAATCCTGCAATAAAATGCCCCTGCAATGGGCTGTAGTACATCCTCCTGGGATTCTGAGAACCCAACTATCCAAGAAGGCAATGGTGAGGCACGACGATGTCACCTGTGCCTTCAAAATAACAACAAAAGGCACCTTTAGAAATATTTAGTAATGACAATCTACAAACAGATATTTATAGATAATTGCCGACTTTTTATTCTTTGCATACCTTGTTTTTCTTTTGCTCTCCATTCTTCACACAGTGGCCATTTTTACTGAGGGCAGATGAATCCATCTCCCTTTACTTCCTGGAACTCTGTCACATGTGACTAGGACATGTGACCATGTACATCATCTCAGGGGAAGAAAATGCATTTCCCTGAGATCTCATGAGATTACAGATGAGATTTCCCAGCATCGCACTGCTGAAGTAACCTTCCCAGAATGCAATGCTTGGGCACAGATTACATCACGTTTGCCAAAGAGAACCAGGAAGTAGAAAACAAGAAATTGTAAGTAAAATGAAAATGTTTGTTTAACTAATGAATGTAAGATGATTTCATATCAGCATGCACAGCTGCATACTGATGGGATTTTTAGCCAAAGGGGACAAAGGTCCACTTCACTTTAAGTTCCAAGTCTACCAGACTGCTCAGACTAATTGAAACAACACACTCTCTAAGTGACTCATCCTTTCATGGATTTGATAGTTTCCATTGAATATGTCTAAAAAAGTTTTTTTTGTGCTGTGCCAGCAGATGAAGATGTGTAGCAATACACCTTGCATTATTTAGTGATGTGACCTTCTTGCTTGCCACCTTTTGTATGCGGTGTAACTGTTATTGCCAGTGGCCCATCACTACTGATGAATGAAGACAGGACAGAACATCAGTGATCGTAGCCTGTTATGTGCTGCGACACAATTGGGTTATGGCACAGTATATGGAAAGGTGTCAATAAGTCTGAACTACTAACTGCAAATACTTTTCCAAAAATATCCAAAGACTTAGACCCCCCCCAAAATCTCTTCTAAATCCATAGGCAGAAGTAAGGGATTTAAAAAAATGAAAAGCGTAGCAATAATATATAGTTTCCAGACACTGATACCTATCACATGATGATCTCGCAAAAGGAAATACAAAGATCAGTTGCGGCACATATACTATATTATTATAGTGCCTAGTGTAGCAGCACTGCACAAAATTGAAGTGTAATGTACGCATATATACCTTTCCTCCTCCCCCTACTTCTCATTAACATACAATAATGTTTTTAAATCTAAGTCTTTTGTTTTTCAAGAAATATCTGTTTTTAGACCCGGTGATGTAATCTTTGCTTCGAGTTTGGTACGAGGTGCCGGCAGGCTCCGGTAAAGGTTGCAGAAATCTGCATTGGATTTGTTTCAAAAGAATTACATGAAAGAGCGCATTCCCAGGATCCCTTTAGATGTGCCTGCTTCTCTCTGCTGGCCAGTCGGTGCAGCAGACTTTTGCTGTGCAGTCTTCTGACTGCTTGAGTGGTTGCAGGCACGGCTAAAGGGATGCCAAAGATGTGTTCTTCTTCTTTCACATAAAGCTTGGGAACAAAATGACTGATGACAGAGAAAGCCAATAGCTGTGTGTGTGCATGTGTGTGTGCAGGGGGGACAACAGTCGTACGGATCAGGAAAATAAGTGATTAATGAAAGATGGAGGTCATTCACACAGGAAATAAAGGTGGGCTCAGTATAGCTGCTGCAACTTCAATGGGTTAAACTGTGGAGATGCAAGTTTACAGGGAATTGAGAGTATACAGTTTCAACACAGGAGATGACTTGTTACAAGTGGGGGGAAAAATGTAAGGTTGGAGTTCAGCTTTATTTCAGACTTATCTGTACAATTACAATGGGGGAAGAGGGCAAACATGCAAAATAACTGAAAATATGGTAACTATGGCTCAATTACTGCTGACTTACGGTTTTACTTCTTATTCTGAGATGCCTAACACCCGAGGAGAAGGTCCCCTTTTAGTGCACAAGGAGGTGAAAGCCTTTTCCTTTTTCTCTAGTCATTTCCTTCCCTATTCCATCCATTGGCCCCCTCCACATTTTTCTTCTTTCCTCTTGTTTTCTCTTCCTTTTTCCTATTTCCCTCTTTTTTTACCCACCCTTTACCTTAATTTCCTCCCTATATTTTACTTGTTATTCTACCCCTTCTACCCGTGATATAGGATCCTCTGTTTCCTGTTTTCACTGCTGACACCTCCCCAATTATAGTCATCCTCGGTATTAGTAACTCACTCTAAATCATTGTACCATTCATGTCTGGAAACCAAATCTCAATAATAATAATAATAATATTTAGTGTGTCATTGAAATGTAATTATTTAGTGTGCCATTGTCATATCTAACTATTATGTTCATGTTTCAGATTAAAACCATGTATCTTCGCTGTTACCTTGTACTTCTATCTTGGAAAACCAATAACATTTTATAAAAAGAAATTCCTAGTTTCAGATGACTGTGACTATTTGATTATTAAGCATGTAAGATCATTAAGATAATTAAGCATGTATCCAAATTGACCCCATGATATGAATGGCAAATTCACATCAACATCATTTACTGCGGAGGAGAAAAACATTGTTTATGGGGTCTGTGGTTGTAAAATTGACCTCCTCATGTGCATGTCATAGCTTCTCATGGGCATGTCATATGGGCAGCTCTACATAGAGCGAGGATGGCTGGACGCTGTATGAAGTGGTTTAATGCAGTTTGAAGTCCAGCCATCCTTCCCCCATCTCTCCTAACTGAAACTCTAGTACGGAGCTCTGCTTCAGAGAGAATGTGAAGAAGCCTGAGCTTTGCAGTGATCCAGTGATCACAATTGCAATGCTTTCCAGGCTTGAATGCAAATATTGAAGAAATGCAGATTTTTTTAATATATTATTAATTATGTATTTCTTTAATTTTTGCAAAAGGTAATCTTAGCCTTTAAATACAGTGTTGTGTAGTTAGCAATAACAATCAATTACATTTTGAGCTTTCAGCAATTTAGAGCAGTCATCACGGTAAGCCCTCGTTCACACCTGAACATTTTGTAGCGCGTTCTACGCTCGACGAACGCTCTACAAAACGCTCAAAAATATAAATCCCATTGTATTCAATGGTCTCGTTCCCACCTTGGCGTATTTCCGCCCGTCCCTAACGCGCTACAAAACGGCGCACGCCGGAAAAGGTACAGGTACTACTTTGGGCCGTTTTGTTGCGCGTTTCCATTGGGCTACAGCCAAGTAGCCTTCGGAAACGTGCGACGGTCACGCAACTTTTTTACCGCGATTTGCAGGAAAAAAACACGCGAAGGTCGCGCGACAGACGCGCATATGCAATACGCCTAGGTGTGAACGATTAGAGATGATTTCTGATTTGGGTGTATCTTCTGTTCTTATATTATGTTTAGTAAAAACTTGACTGCAGTATTTCAGCCACCCTCTTGTACTTTCTATAAGCGCCTAATGAATTGTATATATCTATCCTGTTCCTTGGTTTTGTCAGTCACTCATTATTTGCTATCTATAGTCAGTTTAACAAGGCAGTGACAACTAAGATGCATCGCACACTATTCATATCAGCTGTAGAGTCCTCCAGGGCTGCAATCAGTACGAGTCAGTCCACATCTCTTTTATGCTTTCTCTATTTGCAATGCAGTTTTTATCTGATATTAATATGGGATGATCTAAAAGTTATGGAACTAGTTGGAGCTGGATATTACTGACACCCCAGTGTTCATATGATACAACTATAATCTCTATTCACTGCGTTCTTATTTCCCAACATCATCCCTGAACAACCAATTAGATTTTGTGGGGCCCTGGCTTCTCTACCTGGCTGTACATGATGTTTAATTTTGCTCATCAGTACAGGAATCAGAAAAGGATATTTTAGAAAATGTATTATTTATTATGCTATTTATGTTGTGCCTTTGTTGGGTTGAAGTGAGACTATGAGGTTGGTCATAGACGTAAGAGGACAGTCAGAAGACTGATGCCAGAAAAAGGCCAAGTGGTCCATTGAGTCTTCTGTCTTTTTGCTGTTTTATTTTTTGTATGAGAGTGGATCTATGTTTAACCTAAGCATGTTTCAATTGTTTTATGTTGGCTGATTCACTACCTTTGCTGGAAGTCTGTTCCAAGCCTCCACCTCATACTTTCTAATGTTACTCTTGAACTTTGCTGCTAGTTTGAGGTCATGCTCTTGTGTTTATTACCAATACTTCATAATGGAAAAATGGATAATGTATTCTGGTCCAGTTTAAAAAGGAAAGTTTCACTAACACACTAACATGCATTTTATGATGTGGAGGAGAAAGGAGCAGATAAACACCTCTGGTGCTAGTTGAATTCCCTTTAAGATCTCTTGTCTCAGACAACAATGTCTGGAGGCATTCATAGACATGAGATCATTACTCTTCAGCTTCAGCCAAAAAATTTTTTTTTTGGACACAGTTGGGAAGACATAGAACACCTAACGAGGTTATATTGCAGTATGTACCTCTTACTTTCTCCGTTTTCCTTCCCTAGTCACAATCAGTACTTTTATTTCTTGTCCTGTTGTCATAGGCTGTCAGAAGGACACAAAGTAAGGTGAGATCTCCCCCAATATGGTCACAAACAGCAATACAAAAATAACAATAGTAATTTAAAAAAATGTTTTGGCTGGGCTTTAAAATTTGAAGATGTCTGGGGTCACATTTAAAGTAATGAACAAACCATCTTCACCCAGAACTAGAAGACTACATCAGAATTGGCAGGGTTTCTAGCAGCTATGCATGTTCAATGAGCTTTAGTCTTCTCCACCTTTACAGAAATGATTTATAGCATTATCTTTCACTCTTTTGCCATAGTTCTGAGAGCTACTCACCAGCCCCACCAACTGCCATGTGAGTACCACCATAGTATCTCAATCTCTTATATCTGTGCTTGTTTTGTGTCTCTGTATAGATTCTCCGAATTTGCACAAGATATACTCCAGAGCAGGACACAATGACTTTCTCAGATGGCCTTACACTCAACCGAACTCAGATGCACAATGCTGGGTTTGGTCCACTCACCGACCTAGTGTTCACGTTTGCCAACCAGCTCCTACCTTTGGAAATGGATGACACAGAAACTGGCCTGCTCAGTGCCATCTGCTTAATTTGTGAAGGTGAGCAACAAAACCTTTCCTGTGTGCTGTTCCAGTTTTGGAATTAATTCAAACCTTTTTTGACGTTTGTGTTTTAATGTCTGAAATCAGCTGTCAGACTTCAGATTCCATTAATTTATTGCCTTATACATACATTTAGTCTCCAATGAACCTTTTGTTACATGCATGTTTTTCTACCTTCATTTGTGCATTCAAATTTGTCTATTATCTATCCTTTGGTTTTAAATGGGAACAACAGAGTGGTGGCTACAGAAGGAACAGGAGAGATTTATAGTATCTGAAAGCCAGAACATCATATCAGTACTGTTCTTTTGGCAGCAAGTGGCATGCTTACTCCTTCATAGTGACCATTGGCTAGCTTTAGAATTTGAACAGAATGAGGTAACATGTAAAGGTCAGCACAGGCAAATTTGACTTAAAATTGAACTCCAGGCGGATATTAAAAACACTATTTAATGCAGTTATGTATTATTCATTTTAAAAATCCTTAAATATTTATTTTATATATAGAGAGAGATATATATCTCTCTATATATATCTCTCTCTATATATACATATATTTATAGAGATATATATCTATCTATCTATATATTTATTGTATATAGAGAGAGAGAGAGAGAGATATACATGTCTCTCTCTCTCTCTCTCTCTCTCTATCTATATATAAAACATTTTTCCAAGTAGTTTAGCCAGCCGCTTGTGATACCCCGTACAGTAGAACTCAGACAACAGAGGGTGGGTCAGTATACTGATTCAGTGATACTCTATTCTGATGTGTTGGCAAGGAACATGCTGACAGAAGGAAAAAGATGACTTAATTGGTCTGTTGCTGTCTTTTACTGCCCAATCACAAGCTGGGGGTCAGGGGGGTGACAAAGCCTTATGCTTATATACAGTAGAGAACAGTGAGATCACCAACCTAGTTCTGGTGTATGGCAGGACTATCTATATGTTAGGACTGGCTGGACAATGTTGCATAGTCTCTGTTGGGTAAAAAAAAAACAAAAAAAAAAACCTGCGATATATGTATTCAAACTAATTGTTTAGCTGTTTGCATGGTGTTCATCTGTAACCTTTGGGTAGATGCTAGGAGGTTTCATCACCCACTGAAATGTATTTCTTTCTAGCATTGTTTTTAGGAAGTTTTATTTCATAACACACCCATTGTATGAAGTCCTGTGAAGTGTATCAGTGTTAACAGCACATACTATGCCCATAATTCAGCAACCATGATTTCCTGGGTAATTTAAATACCCCTTTCATGAAATAAACATGGTCATTGCTATTGCAGACATTTAAAAAGTGCTTGTAGCCTGATCTTGGCTTTAGTACTGATGGGCCAGACACAGATTAAGCATGCAACGCATGAATGGTTGCCCTCAGTCATTAAGTCATGGCATTGATAGCAAAGCATCAACCTGGTGGACACTAGCTGATGGAACTAGCATTTTCAACAGAGGCGCTTTTCTGTGGCTGCCCTGGTACTTCTTTCATGACAGGTTTCTTAAAGCCGTAGTCATTGATTGTGTAAACCCCATCCCCATCCCAGTCCTAGCTTTCCAAAGTGGACCTGCCTTATTTCACCTAAGAATTTATCCAGGGATGTCCTATGCACTCATCATTTACAGGTCTATTCACTAAAGGGTGAAGAGTTTAGAGAAGGCAGGAGACGTGAACAATATAGGCCAACATATCTGATTTGGAAAAATTCTCCAATTCAGCTCACTTTCCAGTTCAGCTATGTTGTCCTAGATTGTTCACTTCTCCTGACTTCTCCAAACTCTTCACTCTTTTGTGAATAACCCTGTTAGTGGTTATGGGTATCACTCATAGTCACTCATGACATGTCTGTCTGTCACAGTCTGGCTTAATGTACAGCTGAAAATTGCCTTCTACACTTGTTTATAGGGATACAAGATGTCGGTTCCAAATTCCGTGACCTGCAAAAAGCATGTGGTCTTTTGCTTTTATATGATCATAGAACACCTCATTGACAGCTAATATCTGTCTGAGCTACAGTAGTAGGTGCATTTTCCTTCTGAAGAATAAATTAATCCATAAACGTACACTGTATCTTTGCAGCTCAGTTTGGCAAAGTTTAGTACTAGTATTAGAACTAATTCTGTCCCTTGTGGACTTTTCCTACTCTTCTGAGCTCAAGCCTTCATTAGATTTTGACATGCTATTCATTAAAAGGGGAGATAGAAATTTGTGGCTGTAAAGCACAAAATAAAGCTCATACAATTGCACTAAGCACTAAAATATGTGTTCCAGAAGTCACTAAAATAAACTTCAGTCCAATTGCTATTTCACTTGTCAGCATGCAGCCACATGCACAGATAGCACCACATTTATATAGGTTTAATAAAGAGGACAGGGATGATATGTGCAGAGTGCAGTAACCCAAAGCAACTTATCAAAAAATATAATTCATATGACAGCAGTAAACTGAAATCTGATTGGTGTGTGCATTGTTTCATTGTCTATGTCTATGATGAGATCTAAAAGCACATAAAATTCCATCCTGGTCAATCTTGCAAGTACTCTATTTACTAGCAGTTCTGTACCAGGCACAAGTTAAAAACAGCAAGCATTCACCTAAGCACTATGTTCTGACTTCTGAAAGGCAATCAGTGCTCGTTCGCTGTTCCACTTGTGCTTGAAATGGTTGGCTGCAAGTAATGTATTAAAGCTCTTACAACCTTGAGTACCCCATATGTAATATATAGAAACTGTTTCAGTACAGATAAGCTCTATCAAGGGAGAATAGTGCATGTTGGAGTGAAGGAGTATATGTGGTAACAGGCATCCAAGCAATATTTTTATAAAGAATTAGACCTGAAAGGCACTCAGATGTCAGCAGGCCAAATATAGCTCTCTTCTAATGCAACACAATTCATTCAGCCAGATGGCAAGGCTTCAGTGCTTGGGCTTGTAGACTGCTGCCATCTACCGACTAAGCTATACCCGACCTGAATGTCAAGAAATGTTAAGTGCTAATAATTCACCGAGATATTCGACATGAAACATGTCACTTTTTCTGTTACTAATCTAGACCGTCAGGACCTTGAAGAGCCAGCTAAAGTAGATAAGCTTCAAGAGCCATTACTGGAAGCACTGAAAATTTATATCAGGAAGAGAAGACCCAACAAGCCCCACATGTTTCCAAAGATTTTAATGAAGATCACAGATCTTCGCAGCATAAGTGCAAAAGGTAAAGTATATCCAATGACCTTGTGGATGATGTGCTGAAGGAGTGTAGAAAGTTTACTTGGCAAAGTCATGTGAAATAAAAACAAAACACAATACAAAAAGAAAATGTTTTGTTTGCAAATGATGACACGGTTGAAGTGAACACAGCTTTATCTTATCCACTAACCAAAGTGAAAAGCAAATGGGGTTTTTCCCTTTAGATTAATGGATGTGGTGAAATTTTGTCTTGCAAAAAATACCCAATCACCTGTAAGTAAAATGTTTTAAAAATGGACGATGGAAGTAAATAACCCATTTTACTCTACTGAAGAGTAGCTAGAGCTCAAGCCAGGTAGACCTTTGAATCTTAAATTGTATAGTCATGCAGAATAAAATAATGTTACTCATAACATGGAGGCTTTCTGGCTTTATAGAAAAGTAGAGTTTTTTAGTTTATTTGTATTCAGCATTTTTGGGGGGTGTCTTTTATTGACATTGCTGCTTTTACTTAGGAATGGGTTTAGGTATCATAGGCCCCAAGGCTGTGGCTGCATTTTTATTTTAGTTTTAGATATTATGGAGAAGGGTTATGACTTCTGGCAGGTTTTTATTTTGCCTGTATTCCCATTGAAGAGGTTTGACCTTACTTACTTTTGTATCACTGAGATAGGGAGTAAGGAGAATCTGTCCAACTAGGACACAGCAATAAATTAACAGGGTTATTCACGAAGGATCCAGCCCTAGCTTTGTCTGATCCTTCGGCTCTCTTCGGCCGCCGGAGCCCTTCGGTTTAGTCGACCCGATGGCTGCTGCACGGGCTATTCACAATAGCTCGTACAGCAGCCAAAGGCGGCCGAGCAGCTCAGCCAAGCCAAAGGCATATGCTTCAGCTCGTCTGAGCCGAAGTGACAGCCGAAGCGGGGCAAACGGCCTGCCGGAGGCCGGCCGTAAGTCCCACAAGTGATAGCTGGGCGGGGCCAGACATGATCTCACGGCTGGCTCCATGCAGTTGTAATGACACATCAGCATCTCCAAATGACTTAGGGACGCTGATCTGTCATTAAACAATAACAACTGGGCCCAGTTGTTGTTCATTGGCCGGCTCTAGCAGGTGCCGGCCAATAGGAAACAGTTGGGCAGAGCTAGCTGTCACTGCTAGCTCCGCCCAATTGTTTTTACTTTTTTTTCTTTTTTTAAATATCTTTATTTCTTTTTTACTTTTACTACTTATTTAGATTTTAAAAATATTTTTTCAACCTTTTTATGACTTTTCACTGAATTTCTATTCTGTTTGGTACCACGGAGGTGCCAAGCAGAATGCCGCTCTATCAGAATAGGAGAGAATGGCAGCGAGTGAGCTGCCGGAGCTTCAGCTCAGCCAATCCAGATGTTGGATCGGCTGAGTCGAAGTCCTTCTGCACTTCGGCTGACCGAAGGTAGCCGATGTATGGCTGAAATCAGCCGTACAAGCCAGAATTGAGTAGCCGAACAGCGTTCGGCTCACTTCAGCTGGGTTGCATGGTGCTTACAGTTATTCACTCGGCTGCCTTTGGCAGCTTTGTGAATAACCCCCTAACTTTTTTCTATTAGGAAAGGTTAAACCTTTTGGATTCTGTTGCTGTCTGTGTCGCTGGATTTACTTCCTTTTATGTCAATGGGACAGGAAGTAGCAAAGCCAGGAATTACCAGAGGAGGAGCGGCTCAGCAAATATACACTGGTGCAATTGAACCCCCTCCCCTCCATATCAGACATTCCCAACACTATATGCACACAGGTATGACAAGCAATAAAAGCATTTATTGGGATTCCAATATTATCACAGTCTTATCACAATCTATTAAAAAAATTATGTTCTACTGATGAATTTAACCATCAACAAGAGGGTATCATCTCTAAATATCAACGTATTAAACTTGCTCATGTAGTCGTAGCCTTAGGAACATAGTTGAGCATAGTTGCCTACACACACTGACATCTTCCCTTTGGAGGCTAAATGCCCAAAATGGATAGGCTATGGTAATTCAAGTGATATTCTTTACAGGCAGTAAATGAGCTTCTAAACAAGCCTTACTGACCAATGCAGCTGAAGACACTGTGCAGCAATTCATCCTTTATGTCCACAGAAGAAACACTGAGCTCATCCAAGCCCTTCTCTCAGCAGCTCAGCTCTATTGGCTCCCCTCTCTGCATAGATTTGTTACCCTGTTAGCCTTCAAATCTCTAATGTAAACACAGAGTAGATGTTTTGGCATTGGAGGGGGGCAGAGTTTGTTGAGCTACTGACAGAATGATCTTAAGCAACTAAATTTTTTTTGCTGTGAACTTTGAGGTCAGTGAGGACATGTTTTAAAGCTGATGTTCTACTTTATAAAGATATGTAACAATTGAATGTCTAAATTCTGGCCACGGATTGACTTCAAGGCTGCAATTATCATTTACGGGATGCCAGACGGTTGAGGAACTGATGAATTTGTGTGGTGGGTAACAAGCCCTCTTCAAGGGCAAATGCTAAGACAACTCTTGGCTGCTTTATCATGTGCCATATTATAAATACGGCTAAGACTACAGAGACCTGGATTTTTTATTGAAGAATGAAAAATCCAGAGAGTGAAAGGAAATCAATATTGCAAACGCACTGGCACATATAACTTATAGCTATGCTAAATAACGTCACAAGCATTCACAGGGGAATAACTGGCAAACTGATCATTCTATAACATATGGATTTCTGTTTCATTCAGTGCAGCATGATGTATTAAAGAATTTGATTAACAATATGATTATGAATCAGACAATTGCTGTCTTCCAAAATGTTTACTCCCTGTGACCAAAATCTCGCTTGCTGTGCCTGTGGGTCCTTGTGGGCTTTTATAGGACCATCTCCTGAATGTCTACAGCCTCAGGAGGCAATTCCATAGAAGTGTTTAAGGATCTACTGTGCAGGACCAGCTAGAAGATTTTGTCCATAGGCTGAAAACATTGCAGAAAGTCGCAGCTGTCAGATTCAGGTAGGTATGCATCTGCGGTGGGACAAGGTTGGCTACTTTTGGGGGGCTTAGCAGGTATTCTACACTTATCCTTTAATGGGGTGCCAGTATTTATAACAGTTTCGGTCCATCATACTGCAAATAGCAAATATACAATAACAAAGCCTGCCCCTGTACTATGATCACCGGAATTAGCAGAGAAAAGACAGGCTAATAATTTGTTTTAGTAAAACATTGACAGTTGATTGCAGTGCCCCATCATTCTCATACCCCTTAACCTCTGCCAATCCAGGAAAACAGCAATATGCATGACTGCATGCATGCATTTATGAATCCTCTGGCTTCAGTACTTTGAGTCACTGACCCTAAACAGGTACAGTATGTAGATCTGTAGCATGCTGACCTTCATGATCCAGATCAGTGACTCAGAAAATATAGAATCTGAGAATAAATATGACAGCCCGACACCAATCATTCTCAGAAGGAGGTTAGCAATCATAGTCAGTGTGTTTTGTCTTAATTTTTATGGTTAGACCTCAAAACTAAAGTTAAAAATGATAGTTATTTAAAATGTAAAATAATATAAAATTTGGGTAAATGTTGTATTTAAATCTCATATTGAATGGAAGTTTAAATGAGAGAGACAGTCTGAAAGCAAACAGCTTGTGCTGTGCTCTCTCTTCAGAAAGACTATATTGCTCTGTGAGTGTGGCATTATGGTCGCACCGCATATGAAATCTTTTCTTTAAAAATTAAGATTTTCTGTAAATAGTAACAGAAAAATATAAAATAGTTTAAAACGTATAAACCAGAAAAAAGCAACATAAAATGTACACTTTAACATTTTGAATAAAGGTCAAGATACAGCCAATTCTTCAATATGTGTACCTTGACATACAGGTAGGGAAATGTCATGGTCATTAGTAAAGGAATAGGCATTCTAATGATCCGTGTAATAAAATTGTCGTCTTCTCCTGCAGGTGCAGAACGTGTTATCACACTAAAGCTGGAGATCCCTGGATCAATGCCTCCTCTCATTCAGGAAATGCTGGAGAACTCAGAGGGACACGAGGCAACAGCAAGCAGCCCCAGCGAGAGCCCACCAGAGCGCAGTCACAGCATCTCAAAAACTTCAGACGAGGAGCGGGTCAGCAAATGTGCACAGGTGCAATAGGACCCTCCTCCTCCATCCACTTCAGACATTCCCAACACTATATGCACACACAGGGATGACAAGCAAGGAGCAGACCCCTCCACCCCCCACTGCTGCATTTGCAGACTCTGAGCTCGTTGAAGAAATGACCAAGCTGGTTCCGATTTATATATACCTATATACTTTTGCTGTTTACATTCTTAACTTCGCTGGACTCTTACAAGTAGACGAAAGGAAGGAAAGAAAGAAAAACACTAAAGCAGCCATTTAACAGAACAAGAAATAAATCTATTTTCTCTTCTGATCATCAGATTGCATGATCTTCGAAGACTCCTGACTTTGTACATAAATCTATTTACCATTCTCTTTGCTGGATGTTTGGTGCTTTCCTTTTGTCTTGCATACATGAAATGATCAAGACTAAAGGTAACAAAATGGATTGTTGAACATGCCCACATGAGGATCGCTGTCATTTAGGTCAGAACATGCCCACGACTGCATCGCGTTTCTTCTCTGCTTCACTCTACATGGAAGAACGCTCACTACATGATCTGAAGACTGTTTTGTATCAGAGTAACTGCCTGTTCAGTTAGAAGACATTTCATTGTAGAGTTGTCAATGTCACTTTATGAAGGTGGATCAAACAGATGTGATTGTCTTGGCGGATATTTACAGGTGCATTACTGCAGTAATTGTAGCCTCAAAGGCACTTTCCAGTGTTACAATGTTTTATTTTTTGTCTGTTTCTTTTTTTTTTTTCCATGTTTACTTGTTCACAAGCCATTGGAGAAATGTTTGTGTGTGATTCACTACATATGAGAGTGGGTTTAGCATAAAACGTTCCCCTCATGATTTACCAGGATACATCTCTTCTGTGCCTAAGAGCTCAGCTCTACTTTATGGAAGTCTGCAAAACTCTGTCAAGAACACGAGTAGTGTATTCTGATGGCAAGACACGGTGTAACTTGCAGTACTTTTCTGAGTACACGGCTATGAAGCTGCTACATTGTATGAGCATATGTGAGGAATTTCAATAATGACTGAGCTGCACATTGTTACCAGGTACAAGTGAGATGGATACATTACAGTGGCTTTCCCATTTAACTGGCACAATGTGGCTATAGTATATTGCTTCAGCCCCACACTTTAAAACACTAAAAGCCCAACTTTTTTTTTTTTTTATGTTTGGATCACAGCAACGGTGATGCCACAGTAGACGTTAACATGTTAAAAAAAAAAGTGTTGATAGGTCTCATTTAAAGCACTAGTAGAAATGTTGGGAGGGCGGGGGGATGATATTTTAGCAAGTCTGTGATGTATTCTTCACTGGCTCAGTTTGTACATGAGATTGTTTAACAATGCTTTCTATGTTCATATACTGTTTACCTTTTTTCCATGGAGTCTCCTGGCAAAGAATAAAATATATTTATTTTAAATCTTTCCAAGTATTCTTTGATGAGTGTGATTACATTTGTGGGGTTTTTTTTTGTGGAGGACATAACGGAAAAGAGGAGAAGTTGGGGTATAGATGCTAAAAACCTGACAGACCTCATCTACTCTACCTAAGGTAATACTTGTCCTGTTAGGACAATTCAGATGATGGATTAGAAGAGACCAAAACAAAAACAAAACAAGAACAAAATTAGAACAATCTTGTGGTAAGTTAACAGTCACATAAGATCATCAGCGCCAAAAGCAACCGGAGAAACCACAAGGAGTATAGGACTTCCTCCACGGACCATGTCAAAAACAAAAAAGAAAAGGAGGCACCTTTCCCTCGTGTGATATTGTATAGTAAAGGAACTTTTATGGTATAAAAACATCCATATACTCCCACTCCCAAAATACTTGAATTCAAGTACATCCACAGACCTCATCAGTAAACTTTGCCATTATGAAAGCCATAAGGAAACACTGACCAGAGAACCAGTTCACATGTTCAGTTCAGTGTTTGCTTCTGGCAGACCTTAAATCTGTCTTTACAACAATGTGAGGCACACAATGTGCTATACAGCCCTCACAGCCCTGAAGACTGGCATCTGAAATAACAATGATCCGGTCTACATGGCTGAGATGCCTGCCCCTGGTCAGGTTAATTGAAACTGTCTACCAAGCAATGCTTGCCCTGCTGAGTTGTGGAAGACAGATGGTGTGAAGCAACTATACTCGATTCCACTGGTGGAGAAAACAATATTGAACCCTACAGAGATGCCAGTGATTCTGGGGAAGATTTGGTATGGTGGAAACCAGCAGGAGGGGATGTCAGTATAGTGGACTTCAGTTCTGCTTGATGCTAGTCCAGCTTAGCTGTTTCAGGTCCAAATGCAAGTGGGTGGTTGTTTGCTGCTTCTTAATTCCACCCAGTAAAATGTAGTGTCAAGGAAAGATTATCCAAATGCTTGACAGCTTGGTCTTTAAACACTGGAATGTCCTCAACAGGAACAGTCAATGTTTTGTTTAGCCAACAAATGTTCGGGTGCACAACAAGACCAGCCCACATCTCCGTAAACGTCTTCTCCATGGGGTATTTCTGAGCAAAGCGTTTTGGATGGACAAATAATTTCTAAGGAGTAATCCAATCTCTGTACAAAATAGGTTTCAGTAAACAAATGTACTGGAAAGGTTTTGGCAGTCTTGTGTACTCACACATGAATTTGTTGACCACAAGGTCCGAACAGGCTCGGAGTCTCTGGTACACAGACAACTAAACAAAATATAAAAAAATCATATTTAGGAGACTCCACAAACCCAAAATAAAAATTGTGGCATTCTCCATTTTATCATAATAGTAAAGAAAAGCTAAAAGCCAAAAAATACAGGCGAAACTCGAATAATTAGAATATTGTGCAAAGTTCATTTATTTCACTAATGCAACTTAAAAGGTGAAACTAATATATGAGATAGACTCATTACATGCAAAGCAAGATCATTCAAGCCGTGATTTGTCATAATTGTGATGATTATGGCTTAAAGCTCATGAAAACCCTAAGAACCCCAAATCCACAACCTCAAAAAAGTAGAATATTACATGCAATCAATAAAACAAGGATTGTACATAGAACAATATCGGACCTCTGAAAAGTACAAGCATGCATATGTACTCAGTACTTGGTTTGGGCCCCTTTTGCAGCAATTACTGCCATTACTTTTGCACGATATTCTAATTATTCGAGTTTCACCTGTATATATAGGAGTAGAATTATGCAAGAAACTGCTTCTCCCATCCTATTTATTGTACTGTACAAAAGGACACAATATAAAAACCATGATACAATGGCACAAATCCCAGCAACATGGAAATATCATAATAGCATGGCATGGTGTTCATGTCTTGTAATATTTCAAAAAAGGACCAGTGGCTTGCATAGTTGTATAATGAATAGTAAACAAATCCCTGCAATTCTTTGCACAATCAACTTCAACAAGTAGTCTGCAGTCCTCCGGAGAATGGATAATTGCAGTATCTCATATGTGAGAAATGTTGTAAATAAATTGGCCCCCTGAAAGCAGACAATTGCGATACAACAATCTTTTTTGCTATTAGATACGGCAGACGTACTTGTTAGGTACCTGCCAATTTGTTTCCAATATGTTATATATATTTACAAATGTTCTCATCTACTCAGCAGATAAGTGCATAATCCACAAGAAATAAGGTGCTGCTTTTTGATTATACACCTTGCATTGCAGTGGCACTTGAAATATGACTATACAGCATATCCATATAAATACAGCAGTCATGCGCTTAATGTCAGTTCTTCCATATAATATCATATGTGTTATAACTAGTAAAGTATGTTATGTTGCTATTGGATATGACATACGTACTGAGCGGATGCCTGCCAATCAGTATTCAAGCCAGAGCTGTAGCTACCATGGGGCGAGTGAGGCACTCGCCTCAGGCGCAGCCGAGAGGGGGTGCAGCCAGGGCCTTGCCCTGGAGACAAGGCGAGCACTGGGCGCCAGGCAGCCAACACAGCCACGGCTCGGCAGGGAGGAGAGGAGCGGCACAGGCTCCAGCTTCTCCTCGGATCCCGCTACTCTCCCCCGCCTGTATGGGCAGAGGACTGTGTCCTCAATCTCTTTTTTTATTTCTTTTTGTTTAGACCCCTGATATTTCCCTGAAGCCCCCCCAACAGTAAAAATAAAATATAATAATAAATAATAAAAACACAGACACACTTTTAGACATATGCAAATACTAAAAATTTGTTTCGGACTAAATGAAAGGAAACTAAAAAGGTTTTCATTAGTTTCATCAAACGAAATACATTTTGATGCTATTTTGGATTTGGCCACCAGCACCATCCTGGAGGTGGGGTGCATGACGTCACATGACACCATATGTGCGCGGCGTCGGGTAGCATAACATGTCTGCTGGGGGGGGGGCACAATTTTCTGTTCTTGCCTCGGGCGCAAAAGGTGCTAGCTACGGCTCTGATTCAAGCAATTGCAATATTGTACAATAGTTTTTAGCCACGCAGCAGATGTAGTCCACATACGCAAAGAGACAGTGCCGCTGACTAGTTAACAACATGGCAGAGGTAATGATTGTCTAAGATAAACTACTGATATGATAAACGCTGTTTCCTTCTGTAAAGCAACTTGATCAAAATTCCCACCGCCAGGATTTTTATAGACTTGCTTAGCATTTCAACAAATTAAGGTTCCTGTTGTGTTCAATATTAAAATGTCTGAGGATGAAATGGAGATTATAGATTCAAATATAGATGTGGCCCTACAGATGTTTTCGAATGGTGCAGACGAGAACACCTTTAAGCCACACAACTCATCATTCCCCTTACTTGCATTACATTGAATACGGCCCAACAAGGATACTTTTCATCAAAGTTTGAATGATGACACAATACATTTACATTTTCACGACCCAGTGTGTGTTTAGGAGGGCACAGTCCCTTAATGATATTTTACAAATTGGCATCTCCTTGGCAGGTAATATAAAGGGAACGATGGAGCTGCGATAGATGCGAGTATTGCTCTTACTTTTTTGATGGACAAACTTTTCAGATGCAGGGGACGTGTGGATTGGGGTACTGAGGGGGTATGTTATATTCTTGTCTGCGCCAGTGGAGCCTTCTATGTGGGGAAGGTGATTAAATAAGAACTATTATACAATATTACAATTGGTTGGATACTCATTGGCAGGTACCTGCTCAGTACGTCTGCCGTATCCAATAGTAATAAAACTGGAGAATCAGTGGAAGGCTACTACTTCCCATACCCTGCTTTACCAGTTATGACACATGATACAGAATTGATTATTAAAGAGCATGACTGGTATTGGTTGATGCAAGGACCTGTTGCTGCATTTAAAGGAATAAGCTACAGGATTGTGCCTCTGCAAGGTGCATCAGGTGAATCAGTGGATTCTGCATTTACCTGCTGAGTAGATGAGCTGTGAATATTTAACCTATTGGATACTAATAGGCAGGTACCTGTCAAGTGCATCTGCCACAATAGTAACAAGGATATCACAATTTTCTGCAGCCAAGGCTTTATACTAGAGTACAGCATTTCTCATATATGCGATTTTCCATGATCCATTCCCAGGAGGACTGCAGATTACTTGTTGCAATTGATTGTACAAAGAATTGCAGTGATTTATTACTATTCATTATACAACTATACAAGCCACTTGTCCTTTTTTTTTTTTTAAACATTATAAGATATGAACACTGCCATTATTTATATTGTAGCTGGGTTTGGGACATGTAGAGAGGCAGTATATTATAGTATTGTAAAGAAAAGTAGTTTCTTGGATGATCCTACTTCTTTGCCTTCATATATTTGTTTCTGGTTTTCCCGTTCCTTTTATTTCTTTATTCTTTTATACAATTATGAAAAAATTAATCTATAATTATTTTTTGGGGGAGGGGGGTGTAGTCTTATAAACAGGGGATTTCTAAAATATTTTGTTTGGTGGCCTGTAAGGGAGCTTAGACTGGTACCGGGTGGTTTCAGATGAAGGTACTGTATGTAGCTTCGGTTTTAATCATGTATGCATCACATTAATAAAAAAAAAAATGGTATATTTGATCCTAGGAGTTATGTTGGTCAGGAATAGCAGACTCCTTATCTGCAGCCGACTGAGCCATAGATGCGGCAGGAATGTCAGAGATGGAACCCGGAGGAGAGGGCATTGAAATAGTCAGCTATCCTGGAAGTGATTTTATTCATCAAATCCTGCATAGCTGAAGACGCCTCCTCCCTGGAT